AGTGAAAAATCCTTTTTAGTTACAAAACCCAACCCTTTATAGTCATACGACCCCTACAACCTTTTCTCAACACGTAGCCATGCCCAAATATAGACGTACATCTGTATACCGGGGTGTGTGTGTGTATCCCCTATCATACACAGTTACATCTGCAATTCCTGTACTTTAGTATTAATTAGCCCCATTCATATGTATTCCAGCTAAAAATATGAAAATCCATATATACAGATATGGAAGACTGTGTTTACCCAAAATCAGTCCATTATTGCTGCAGATCCTGGGGAAAAATAATCAACATCATGAGTTTGAAAAAAAAGGGAGTTTGAAACTTTATTTTCATCCTAGAACTTACCAACTCCTTTCAGCAGAGTGGTTATCAAGTGACCTGTCAAATGACGCCTGTCATCTATTTCCTGGCCTGGGGAGGTGTAAGAGGACTTATTTCCAGAAAAAGAAAGAAAAAAACGAATTAAAAGGCAGTCAGTTGGAAGAAGTAAAAAGTAGCCTGGACAATCCCGTAAACTAGCCAGTTCGTCTCTGACTAAATCAAGAGTTGGTTTTGCATTAAGGAATTAGAAGTGTCATTTCCAACTTGTGATTTCTGCAAGTATTGGATTCTACCCAAGATGGATTTTAAAAGCAGATAAAGAAAGCCAGGATTAAACGGAGGCTCAGGGGGAGCACCACCTTTTCTGAATCACTTCCAAATTTCAGCAGCTAAGTGAGATGTTGGTTGGGGCGCAGCAACTTTCTGACCTCCGTGCACTGGTACAATACCAGCCAGAAAAACTCAGGATTCTGCTGGAAGAAAAAGCGTTCCATTAACAAGAGAGAACAAAAGAAAAGAAAGAACAGGTTTATGCTGCAGTGTTAAACACCACATCAGCTTTTCTGAAATACTCTGGAACTTAAAGAAAGTAAGCATACAAAACGTATTTTGAAGCCTTTTCATTTAAGTGTAGGTTAATATGTTCCATGTGCCTTTTTGTATTTTGAAAGAACACCATGAGAAGCTATCATTCAAAATACTTAGAAAACCAAATATCTCCAAATCTCTTCATGAAATTTTTAAAGACACAAAGTAATTTAGCCCTATAAGGTTTAAGAGAAAACCGTGTGTGTGTGTGTATGTGTGTGTGTGTGTTACCAACCTTGGTCACCAGAAACACACCACACTGTTTGTGATGAGCACTCCAGTTTCACACGAGCAGCCAAGTCCAATCTTAGGGAAATGAGATGTCTCCGCACTTCAGTGCGAGGAAGGCTGTGGCAGGAAGCCCTGGCCCCCCCTGCCCTCTCCCGTCAGGCCACCAGAAACACCAGTCACAGGTTTGGGGGTCTTGCTGCTTTCAAAGAGTTTTATCAAGAAATTTTCATAAAACCCTGGTTAACATGTGACTGAGCATATAAACAGAATGAAAGAGATATAAAAATAAGTTACTACTTACCAAGCTCAAGAAATCCCAGGAGACTATATTAAAGCTATAACTTGTCTATGCACCTTCCAGTAATTCAGTCTGAAATGTGGCTTACAGCCCTCCCAAAACATAAAATGAATCGAATAACCCAGTTTTCTCCATACAAATAGATCATGGGAGGTCTCAAGACAGGTCCAGGCAGTAAGGGTCAGCCGTAGTTAACAATGACTATGCATTTGAATAGGAGGTGGGCAAGGGACCAACACGTTATGACTGTTAATGTGTAGGCAACGCATGAGTTGTCAATCAGCTTTTCAAAGCATTGACGTTTGTCTCCCCTCAACAAGATACTCATTCTCCGTATTGTGTTTGTGCCTCATCAATTTTAAAAATTATTGCTGCCAGGTCATATTAGTGTTTATCCAATGCATTTTTATTTTATAAACTTGTTTCTAACTAAGGGGAAGAAAGAGCTGTTGGTGTTGCTTATGATGGTCTCCCCCAAACAGAGGTCTGGCCCAAAGCAGGGAAGGTCGACATTCTATTCTCTAAATCCTCTAGCTATATTTTCAAATAAAACATAGAGTTAAATGATATATTTGCTCTCTATTCCAGACTGGATGCAACTGACTTTAACTGACTAAATTATCTGATCTTTGCCAAGAATTTTATTTCATTAAGAAAATGATATTATAGCGCATCTGAGATCACAGAGCAGACTAAACATAATGCCAAAGAAGTTCTGAGAATGCTCCACAGTGAAGGTTTGATTATTTGCAGATGGAATATGAAAAAAAAAAGAAGGATCTGATCCCAGGCCTTGGCCTCACCAGTCCTGGTGTCACTGCTGCCTACATGGTAGCACAAAGCCAAGAACATAACCGACCTTCTGAGCCACGACAACATCTCCTTTTAAGGTGCTAATCACTTTTCTTCTTGGAAAGTAATATTTAACTGCCACTACCCAAAACAAAGGGAAAAGGGGAAATGTTGGTGCCACAATGGGCTCTAGCGTGTCAGCTGTCACTACTGACATGATCTGGCTAGTCGTCAAGCATTCACCAGGGAACTAATTTAAATCAGTCTCCTTTGGGCAAGCCCATTGTTTGGTATGCGCAACAATTGGTGTAGGATCAATCAGTGGACATGAGATCAATTAAAACCAGCTTAAGTTTGTGAAGAGGAACAATTCACACAACCTGAGTTAGATCTCTATTCATTTCAATACCCTCACAATGCAACCCTTAAGCTTCCTTGCAAAGCAGAATAGCTACTATCACCCTACACTGTCTAGCCAGCCCTTTAAGTAGTTCCACTTTTAATTAAAAACACAGTGCACTCTTTGTTGGCACAGATAGTGTGGTCACTTTTAAGGACCGCAGTTATTTTAGCCAGAAACTTGGGATTTGGGAAAGGACATCTGTTAAGAAAGGGTGTGGGGGCAGTACACTTTGATAGAATTTTTTTCTTTACAACTTCACCAATTTGCATGGACTTGAAAGCATTTGACTTTTATTAAATGGAAAGGTTGGTTTGGCAAAAGTTACCATTACACACTTTAGAACTAGGTTTATGAATGTCAGCACTTGGGGATGTGGAGGCTATGAGATTTTGCTAGAGCAGCTGTGAAATAAATCGGGTTTTGCCTCAGATACTAAGAAGACACAGGCATAACTTCAGAGATGGCACAGGGGAAAAGCATGCAGTACCGCCTCTGGCCGCAGGGGTGCTGTGATGCCATTCTCCACGGAACAACATCTCCACACTAAGTTCTACTGAAACAATATGTTCGTTTATTCCCTGCTCAACCACAACGGGACAGGCGCCGTGGATCAGAAAGACGTCCCTGAATCAGCACGAGCTTGGGAATGGGTTTTTGACATTTCTCTATTTCTCAGACTCCAAGCACTTGAATTTTTCCAACCAAGTAGACTGCAACTTCTGCTTATAAGTGGGAGCAAGCCTCTCCAAACACTTTTAACCACAGTGTAATAAAAAATTGCCAACTCATCCAGGCAATACCTCGAAAGAAAACAGTGGGGTAGAGAAAGGACCAGTTGGGAGGAGTGGGGAAGACAGAGAGACAGAAAAGGAGTTTTCCGAGACTAGTATCAATATCAAACTTTCATGGCCTCTAGAAGAAATTTCTCTCTAGTAATTTTACGCAGAATGATTTCCGAAAATAAGCATTTTCCAAATGTCAGAAAGGAGAGAGAGGGGTGTCCTCGCAGACCACAGATGTGCAAGCCACGGTCGCAGAACAGAGGCTGCGGGAGTTGCCCTTCGCCACTTATCTCCAGCTCTGCCCTGGGGCAGGCCACCCTCCCGCCCGCGGGGAGGTGAGAACAGCTTAACGACTTCCTTAGAAACTATGAAAAATCTGGACGCAGAACTGGAGATTCCATAAAACGAGTTATAAACAAATCACATCACAGGTCGAGTGAGACGTTTATAGCCCAGAAAAATCAAGATCCGTTAACCTCAAGACAAATTCTAACCGAGCAGAAGTCCAAATTGCTAGATAGCTCTGAGGGGTTGCTATGCACCTTCCAGGAACTGGCACTGCAAGGTGTAGGGGAGGTGGAGGGGGGGGGGGGTTGAAATCCCGCAGAAGACTTAATTGTGTTTAGCAGCTCTCCCCCTAAAACGCAGTTGGGTTAGCTACAGCCACAGCAGGGCTCGGAAACCGAAGTGGGCGCACTAGATCTGCGGGAAAGCCAGCTCTCTGAGACCTTTCTGGAGGCTTGCACTCTCCTTTTCCCGTGGCGCACACAAGAGATGGAGAAGGAGGGACCGGTTAAAAAGTCCAAAGTGAATTTCATTGAGAAGGAAAAAAATCCTCTCTCAGAATTAGTTGCTTTTTTGAGGGAAGTAAATGGAGAGGGCAGCGTCGGGCCTGTCCCCTAAATGTCATTATGCCGGGGAGCACTCTCCAGAAAACCCGCTCACGAGTTACTGCTCAGTGCAGAAAGTTCAGGGAATCATCCCATCTAGTCTAGTTCCAGAAAAAGAGATCAACGTTGCCCTTTTCCTGGAAATACAGGTCCTCCGCCTTGGTGCGGTACCCACTCTGAGACGCTCTCCTGACCCCTCTGTTACACGCGCGCGCACACACACACGCTGCTAGGCCGTGTCCAAAGAGATCTGGGGTCACGGTTTGGAGCGCACGTGCGCCAGGAAGGTAGAGACAGACCAGCTGCCGGGGAGATGCACAAGAGGACTAAAAAGAAAGACAAAGAGACAGAGAAGAAAATCGGGTGCCAGGTAAGAAATGAGACAGAAAGAGAGAAGAAGAATTCAGAGTGGCAGCGCGGCAGCGAACGTGGGCACGGATCACATCACGTAACCCCAAGCACCCTTCTAACACCGAGTCCACCCGGCCCTGCGCGTGTCTCGCTCAGGTTCGTCACACCTTCTGAGGACAGAGAAGACAGAGTTCTGCAGACCTCCACGCCCGGAAGGTGGGGAGCGGCGGTGTGCAAGAGCGGGGTCGAGGTGGGGGGCGCTGTCCCGCCTCCCTGTGCCCCAGGAGCCCGAGAGTCAGTGAGCGCCGTGACCCGCCCTCCCGCGCCACGCACTCACCTCCGGAGGAGTAGGACCCACCTCGTTTACTGCGTCTCCATCGGTTGCCTTGGCAGTGGCTATAATCCATACAGTTCAAGATGATGAGGGCAAAGGAGAAGAGGCGAAACTGCATCTGGGCGGTCGGGTCGGGGAGAGACGCCTCTCAAAGTCGGGGAACTGAAGGGCTCATCCGAGGAGCCAGCGGTGACCGCTGCTGGGGACGACGCAAAGGGAGAGTTGCCAGTAACCCAGAGATGGCACTGGTCAGTTCCGCGCGGTCAGCATCTCCCTGACTTGAACCTGAGAGACCAGGAGGAGAAACAGAATGGGTGGAGAGAACCCCGGAGAGGCGGCTGCCTCTCTGCGCGTCCCAACTTAAGAAAGGAAGGGAGGGGGCAAGCGAACTCATTGCCTGGCACGAGCTGCGGAGCTGCTTAACCCCCAGCGCACAGCTGCCGGCAACTTGGAGAGCGAGGTGATTTCAATCAGTAATTAGCAACCACTGTGCTGCTGCGGGCTCCGACCCGGGGAAAGGGCGTGTGCGGCGCTCCAGGGAAAGAAAAGAGCTCCAAAGGAACCGAGGGCGCGGGGTTAAAAGCACGCTCTTGGGCCCTTTGGCTCGAAGGTGGGATACCTAGGCATGGTGGTCTCAGGGGTAACCTGTCTGGAGCACTTACTTCTCGGGCTGTGCGGCGTGCCTAGGCGCAGCGCTCCATCCCGGGCTCCTGACGCCAGCCGCCTCGCTAGCACGTGGGCTGGGGGAAAGTTTGCCGAGACCTGCCGGGAGCGCCCCGCAGCTCCGGGTTCCGGAGTCCGCCACGGGTTCGAAGTGCGCGCAGGGTCCTCTGGGCTGGCAGCGCCTGGCTGGAGCGCGGCGGATGCTGAGTCCCCGCTGCTGAATGTGATTCTCGAGCGAGGGGCGCGCTGGCTCTTGCTCTCTGGGTCCCTGTCCAACTGGGCGCTTTCCCGAGCTCTCTGCACAGCTACTTCACAGCTGAGGTTTCTCCCTTCCCAAGTTGAGGGAGATGAAACGTTCACGGGAGGCCGAAGGGATGTGGCGAGCGCACTTTCCGACGGAGATGCTGCCGGGCAAAGCTCGGGATGCTTCTATAAGTAGGTGGTGCTGTGGTCCACAGCATCTAAGTCGAAGCTGCCTTGGAGTTCCTGGGTCCTAAAGCCAGAAACCCTCGGGTTTCCCTGAGGTCCTAAAGAGCGTTGACAGCCTCCTGCTGGCCTAACCCCAAGCGAACCCCCTCCGGGTTTTCCTGGAGGGGTGGCTACTCTGAAGCGAGGCTGGGGTGGGAGCCCAGCTGGCTGCACCCCGAGGACGTCCTCTCGGTGGCTCAGGGGTCAGTTCTAGCCTTGGTTCCAATCTCCCCGCAGGAAGGTCTGACAGATTGGTGGCTTCTCGGGACCTTTCTTCCCGAGCCAGGCCCGGACCGCTGCTTCAAACAAGCGCAGTTTAAACTGGAGCCGCTTCCCGAAAGATGCCACACCTCGGCCGCTTTTTAATGTACGTCTTGGCTTTGTTTTACAGGAAGATTTGTTAGCAAGGGCTGAAATTAAAACGCGCCCTCAGTTTGGGGAGTGAAAGGATATATCCAATAGCTTTTGCTTATCCTGGGACGTGCTATTTCTTCACTTTGTTTCTCCCCCAGAAAAATTTGCAAAAACCTGTGTTCCCTTGCTTGCAATACTCCGAGAAATTGAGACCTTACTTCTTTACAGAACAGTTCACTTTCCACTGAAATATTTCTCTTTTATAATCCTCCTCCCTCCCACCACCCTCAAGGTCTCCTGGGTTTGGGCCCTCAAGGTCTCCTGGGTTTGGGGGATACTCCGTTTAACAAAGTGTTAAATTAAATACACTTGATCTTGCCTAACTTCATTCTGGTGAAATCTTCTGTCCTACATTCAGTACTGTATTTGGTCCTTGGGCAAAAGATAAGAACTTATACCACTAACCATGGAAATATGATATAACTGGTCACAGGTGCCATGTTATTATAGTAGCATTTTGTGCTATTTAAATTTTATTTTCTCTGCCTTTAGTCTCAGAAGATGTTCAGAAATTGGAGTCTTGTGCCAATCATAAATAACAACAGGAATATTAGAATAGTCGTGTTTATTAACTGTTTATCATTGCCTATCTACAACTACTTTTTGCTAACATCACTGTTACATAGCAATATTGATGAGCTAAGAATGTCAGTGCCATTCCCTTTATCCATGCCTGAGAACCACAAATATCTGAGTGGAGGTCACTGGTCCCATTTCCTAGATAAGAAAAGTCAGCCCCTGAGACTGGCCCACAGCACAGAGTTGACAAAACACATTGCGGAAACAGTGGGTCTGTTTCTCTGCTTTCAGAGTCTTTGATTTTTATCACAGAGTTTGGAAGTGATTGGAAACGGTGCCACTTATGGAGCGAGTGGCCCAAGCAGGATGACTTGCTACTCCAGTGAATATCCCTCCATCATCATAGATTCCACTCCCCTAAACACTCACACCTGCACACACCAAATTCATTGCACTTCCAAAGGAGTTAAAAGTGTTAAGTCCATGGGAAAATCTTCTGCCTTCCAACACAGCATAATACCCATTCAAGATCAGCGATTATCCGTGTCTTTTAAAATATTTTTAAAAAATAAGCACAAGACCAGGTAGATCTAGCTCCACCATTAACCAGATGGGTGACTTTGGACATTTCTCTGGATCTCAGCTCCTTGGTAGTATTTTTAGGAAATTAGACCAAGGTCTCGCTCACCTCCATTATGTTCCAGTTTACAATCAGTTTTCTGTTTCTATCAAGAAGTTTACTATGGCATCTAACAAGTGTGAGGACAAACTCATCACTGATAGGTTTTCAATGGAGAAAAACGAGAGTTAGCTACTGCCCTCCATTCAATTTACAGAGAACTTTCAACTTTATGTCTTTGAAGATGACTTCCTTAGTTTTAATCATTTGGGTTTCACAATTGGCACTTTTAAAACCAGAGATACTTTTCGGTTTAGTGAACTCCCAGATCCATTTTATAAAAAAGAATTTTAACAGCCCAGCTTCTGTTGCAGTTGGTTAATGCTCTTAATAAGATAAGAATGGGCTCTGGGAGAAAAGACTCCTATTCCTTTCTTCCTCCTGGTCTGTCTCTGTTTTCTAAAGGTCACCACTGATCCTCAAATATTTGTCACACTTGGTTCCTGAGGTGCTTAATCTCTTTGGAGCTGTTTTATTGATAATGCAGGGGTTTGGGGATTTTTTTGTTTTTTTGTTTTTTGCTATTCACTGAATATTTTCCCTGGTTTCAAGAACCCAGGAACGTTCCTGCTACTAAAAAGTACAACCCTAGTGTATCCTAAATTATTAACTTGAAACCTGTATTTCTGCTTCCTTTCATTTCTAACCTCTGAATGTCTTGTTTTTGAGGCTTGAAGCTCACAGTTCCTCCATCCTGGAGGCTCAGCGGAGTTTTTCTTCAAATTGAGTCTAAATGGTGGTTTCATTAAACTGGCTTTGAGGATAGACCTGTGCCTAGTGACCCTTTCCAGGGAAGCAGGCTGATGACGTAGACTTCGTAACACTCATGGGCGATAGAGAAGGTTAACTGAGGGCAGGAGATGATGTTATAGATGGGAGGCAACTTGTGTACTTTACTTTTTAGATGTATGATTCATTCATACAGCTAAGATTTAATATTTAATAAAGGACATACAGGGGAGAGGTTCTGTCTCAGCCATCCGGTTCTCCTTAGAGACAACCAGTTACTCATGATTACCTCAGGTTTTGAGTATACTTCCAGGGATATGTTGTACCTACCAAGAAAATGTATGTGTGTGTGCACACGTGTGTACACACCTAGTCATGCATTGCTTAATGACAGAGATGCAGCGTGAAAAAATCGCCCTTAGATGATTTTGTTGCTGTGCAAACATTAACTAGAATCCTGTACTCATTAATCTGCACCTCAATTTTTTATGCATGGTAGAATGCATTCAGTATCAGTTCATAAAAAACTTTCCTGCTCCACATATTATTTGATTGTATGGTTGTATTTAGCCAGCTCCCTACTGATAGATGTTTACATGGTATTCATTCTTTTCCTGTTATAAACAAAACATCAATTAACCACTTCATGGGTCATTTTACCTTTTCATTATAAATTCCTAAAAATAAAGAAGCTGGATCAAACACTTGGATATGTGTGTATGTATTCTTACAATCACATTCTACAGAGATTCTGTCAAATCACTATGCACGGAAGTGTCTTTCTCCCTACACACCAACCAAGATGTTTTGATACCCCTAGGCAGAAAATGGTATCTCTGTAGTTTTCATTTTTTTCTTTCCTTTTAAATAAATTCTGTGTCTTTAATACACTTGGGCAAGTTATATTTCCTTTTCTACGAACTCTCCAAGATATTGGTTACCTCTTTTTATATGTTCTTTGTCACTTGTTTTTGTCTGGTAGAATATACACATAGAGACCCATATCATCTTTTGTGAATTGCGTTCGTATATTTTTCCAAGTTTATCATTTGTCTCTTAACATTGCTTTTGTAGTTAAATCTGTCAGTCTTGTTAGGTACAGCCTGTATGTTTTTGTTATACTTATAACAGCTCTTCCCCATGCCAATCTTCTTCATTTTCATTTGGCAACTTCCACATGCTTTTTTAATGTTAAAAACCATAAGATATTAGTGATTTTATGACATGGCTGCATTAGAATAGATTTAACATTTTCTGAATCTTTCCTAAATAATTTTGTTCACAGATTTGGTTGACTTTGGCTCTGACTCTCATTTTCATTAGCTAATTGATTTAGAATTCTCTTATCTTTTATGTTATCAGATATTCCTAATCTCTGCCTTAAAGTTTTCCACAACCTTCTTACTCATAGCTGAAGTTTGCTCTTGTTGTATGCACTCTTCTAGTCTAGAATTTATCCATTAATTACTTTGGAATAAACTCTGTCATTTTTGCCAATGTGTCATATTGATAGTATAATTTTTCCTGTTAACTAGAAGCTGAATGTCCATTTGCCTGGTTTCATGTGATAGCCTATGTTCATTTATTATATTTTGCATGAAATAATTAAATGGATTCATATGAAAGATCTTCAACAAGGTCACTGACCAGTCCTTATCTGGGCTAATTTGTTGTTTTTTAAAGCCACACCATAATCACTTATTTAACATTTGAAAAATGTGTAAATATTTGACTCCTCCAAATGTTAATACTGTGTTCTGCCACTTGAGAACTCCTCTGTAGACCGCAGCAGTGATAAGGCTTGTTTCTCACTTTGCTCCCCTTCCTCATGGAAGAGGTCCAGGAGTCTCTCTGCGAAGGAAGTCCTGCTCAGACCAGCCCGTAAGAGAAGGCTGGAGATCTGACCTGAAGTTTGAAAATGATTTCCTTTATTTAGTTTTGTGTGTTCTGAACTCTTCTGAACCAAAGTAATGCATGTGATTTCCATTCTTTTTGTGCGTGAATGGGATTGCTGGAAGGAAGTGTTACTACCCCGAGTAACTAACAAGAGATACATAAAGATCTTCAGCTATTTTAAGACTTAGACTCAGCCCTGGCTGGTGTGACTCAGTGGACTGAGGGCAGGCTGGGAACCAAAGGGTTTGATTCCCAGTCAGGGCACATGCCTGGGTTGCGGGCCAGGTCCCCAGTGGGGGGCATGTGAGCAGCAACCACACAGTGATGTTTCTCTCCCTCTCTTTCTCCTTCCCTTCCCTTCTCTCTAAAAATAAAGAAATAAAATCTTTAAAAAAAGAATTAGACATAGTTTTCATTGATGTGAAGAGAATCTCTCTTTTCACTGTGGTGATAATTGAGATGAACAATGGGACAGATAATCCCGAAGAGCAGGAATTACCTTCCCCAGCACTACTTTCAGTACTTTATTCTCCAAAAAACATTCACCTCCTCTAAGTTTTAACTTATGGTCATAATGAATTGTGTTGCTGCTCAAAAGCAAATTTCTGCCTTGCTGTTAGCAAGTGTACAATATAGGCAGACTTTTTTACTAGTCTCATTTCTTGCTGCATTTTATGCTTCTACTCTGATTTTCCCTTTGCTTTGTTTTA